TCGAGTACTATCAAAAAGTGATATAAACAAACATGAGATCACTAATGTTCATGAAAGACAACAGCACAAGCAAAACCACTATGAATATTTTGAATAAATTATAATTAAAACTCTTTCAGTAGTATTTCCTTTGAATCAGAATTTGAACACGGTATTGGAAAGTAACACTCTTAATTGAACCCATACAGTGTATCTCTACTCAAACTCTGTTGTTTTAGCAATGTCAAAGTTTAATTTTCATGTTATGAAAATGAAATTGGACCCTTAGGATCTAATAGGCATTTTCAAAATGTCATCACAGTAAAAGAAAACAGTAAGTGGTGTCAGGTTTCATAAAAAACTTTCCAACAGTCATTCATAATGAAAGAGCAAAATGAAAACAAAATTAAGGTCTTATTTTGTACTTCAAACTAACAACAAATCAGCTTATTGACAATAAATATATAAACTATGCTCCCTTGTCATGACAGGTCTACTTTTTGTGGTTGATTACACTAATCTTAAAGATTTTTTTCTAGTAAGTTGTTAAAAGAAATAAGTGATTACCCTTATCTTTTTGGAGCAAACACTTGACAGGTAATCTTTCCTGGAAATCTGTCTAAGTGAAAAATTTAAACTGTCAAAATAAACAATGTTCATTCTTGGAACCTATCAGCATTTTGCCTGCTAGGCATGGTGGGGCAGATTTCCAGGGTAGCGTTTTAGGAGAAACACAAAGAACAATTGTGATGTGTTTAGCAGTTAGGCATGAGGCTTATTATCCATTGGCATCTCAATCTCCCAATCTCACAATCACTATACAAATATATTTTGTTTTTTAGTATTTTTCAGTTTGTAAGATTTTTCCTACTGAAGTAATTAACATAGCAGGGTGGTATTACCAATACTGTGTGGTACTGCAATCAGTACTAAGAAACCCCCATCAGAAACCCAGGCTTAATGCCATGTTTTCTTATTTTTAAGTTAAATACCCACTTTTTTTACACATTTTTGGGCATGTTAGTATCAGTTTTATACAAATATTTGGAAGCAAACCTCATGAACTGACTTGAAATTAAAAGACCAAGTGGCAGTGAACAGTGACTAAGTATAGAATGTTCTACTGTGGGCCTCTAAAAGCGGGAATTTGCGTCTAACTGTGAAGCACTGTTTCCACTCAAATCCTCCTTCGTCACGGCTGGAGAAGCCTATTCAGAGGAAAAGACGGTTGGTTTTCAGATGACGATGTCAACGCAGACATTTGTGGATGGAAAAGTGGAGCTGGACTGCAAAATGATTCATGCAGGCCAAAATGAGCCAGATGAAGTTTCTGCGGAGTTACAAAATATACAAGAGTTTCTTCAAATTTGCATCAATAGAGTATTAAAAAAGCTGTCTAAGCCTAGAGTTTTAAAAATAGTCAGCTTAATTTACATGCAGAGTGTAGGGCGATTCTTTGTACTTCAATGCACTGATGTCCTTCTTTTCAATGCCTTATTAAAGATGAAAGAAAAAG